GAGAAACATCTATGCAGGTAGGTTAAGGATGGCTTTGTAGTTATCTGGGAACATCACGTTAGCTGCAAGAATTTCGTTTCAATGATTGAGAAAATGTATATCTTGTATTACAGAAAATACAACAAAAGAATGTGATTTGGTTACTTTTTTGTAGATGACTAAAAAGAATTAAAACTGATAAGGGAACCATATCTTTTAGCTCACCTGAGCTGAAAGCTCAATTTCTATGCTCATGCTCTTATGACAAAAGAAATTATTAACACTCTTCTCAGGTACCAAATCAAACATTCGTGAGAGAATGTTTTCAATTGTAAAAATATAATTCAAATACTGATTTAAAAATATTGTAGACAATAAGATGAAAAGATACATACCCTTTGCACAGCGCATAAGAAAGTCGATAGTGCCATAAGAAAAGAAACAATGTGCAAAAATAATGCTTCAACTCTAGTTTCATAATGTAAAGGAAGGTACACAATTGCCAGATTAAAACGGTTTCATCTTAGCAACAGCATTTGTGTGTTGTTGAAACATGGAAAAACATGGGCATACGGGGTTTGTCTAGTGACAGCTTTACATATCTTTGAATGCGATGCGCAGATTAATTGGATTAATTTTTCAGCCAAAAACATAGTTTGTTTCAGAAAACCTTCCGCTCTCTCGTCTGTGTCTCCAAATAAAATCAAGAGAGTCCTCAACTTTTGGACAAAGTACAAAGGACTGATAAGTAGAATACTACGACCTAGTATAATATTATATTACTTTAACAAATATTGAGGAAATTATAAAATTTTTCATGCCTTCAATTTCTATTTCATCAGAATTTATACGTAAACATTCCCAAACAAAATTAATCTAAATCTTTCCAAACCAAGGGTTTTCAGTTCAGTTTACTCCTCTGGCTTGAAAAGATGGCAAACAAGTGAGATTATATTCTCTTTTATATACATGTACATAATACATGAGGGTTGATCCAAAAGTAATGTCACAGTGTCCGTATCTTTTTTATATGGCGTCATATTATCAAATATAATATACCAAAAGATAAACATATATAATTCTAATAAAATTTAAATTTTCATTTAAGGACCCTCTGTACACTACTACAAAATGTTTTTGGACTTTGCAAAATTATATTGAACAAAGGTAAAAATAGAGAGCTTATCCATGTAGTTTTCAATGTATGGTACGTGGCATGTACTCCAGAAAAGATGTTCAAACTCAGCATGGTATTAATGAACATGGTGAACAGAAGTCACTGTTAATTAATTCCATGTAGAAATTACGAGTACGTGTAAATAATATGTTCAATCAATTTATTTTGACTTTTTAAAATGTTAAGAATACTTGAATTGACAACAAATTGAGTAATACACTTATTAGAGACAGCTTCAAACTTCACTCTGCACACACATGATCATGTTAAAACTGCATTTAGTATATTATATTCGGAATGTAGCCAATATCTATTGATCAATGAAAATTTATTTATGTACTGCTGAAGTGAAAATTACAATAATATATGGATAAATTCATGTTCACTTGTATGTTTCTTCTCAATTACATGATAATCTTATGTTATAGTAGATCTGTTTTGTAGGGTATTATTAAAATATATATATGTATTTTCAAATAAAATTTTAGTCAGCATTGTTTACAGAAAATGACGAGCTTTATTTCAGAACACAACAATCAGACACAAATGTATGTCTAACTGAAATAAAATCAAGAGAGTCCTCAACTTTTGGACAAAGTACAAAGGACTGATAAGTAGAATACTACGACCTAGTATAATATTATATTACTTTAACAAATATTGAGGAAATTATAAAATTTTTCATGCCTTCAATTTCTATTTCATCAGAATTTATACGTAAACATTCCCAAACAAAATTAATCTAAATCTTTCCAAACCAAGGGTTTTAAGTTCAGTATACTCCTCTGGCTTGAAAAGATGGCAAACAAGTGAGATTATATTCTCTTTTATATACATGTACATAATACATGAGGGTTGATCCAAAAGTAATGTCACAGTGTCCGTATCTTTTTTATATGGCGTCATATTATCAAATATAATATACCAAAAGATAAACATATATAATTCTAATAAAATTTAAATTTTCATTTAAGGACCCTCTGTACATTACTACAAAATGTTTTTGGACTTTGCAAAATTATATTGAACAAAGGTAAAAATAGAGAGCTTATCCATGTAGTTTTCAATGTATGGTACGTGGCATGTACTCCAGAAAAGATGTTCAAACTCAGCATGGTATTAATGAACATGGTGAACAGAAGTCACTGTTAATTAATTCCATGTAGAAATTACGAGTACGTGTAAATAATATGTTCAATCAATTTATTTTGACTTTTTAAAATGTTAAGAATACTTGAATTGACAACAAATTGAGTAATACACTTATTAGAGACAGCTTCAAACTTCACTCTGCACACACATGATCATGTTAAAACTGCATTTAGTATATTATATTCGGAATGTAGCCAATATCTATTGATCAATGAAAATTTATTTATGTACTGCTGAAGTGAAAATTACAATAATATATGGATAAATTCATGTTCACTTGTATGTTTCTTCTCAATTACATGATAATCTTATGTTATAGTAGATCTGTTTTGTAGGGTATTATTAAAATATATATATGTATTTTCAAATAAAATTTTAGTCAGCATTGTTTACAGAAAATGACGAGCTTTATTTCAGAACACAACAATCAGACACAAATGTATGTCTAACTGATAAATTCTATTTTTACTTTGATCAATGCGCTATTCTGACTCATACACATGCACTAGTATCATATCAGGTTGACAAATGTACAGACATTACATACGGGCTCTAATTTTTCGCGATATTTTTGTGAAAAATGTTTTTGGTATATTCAGCAAGATTAACATTTTGGTTATTTTATGTATAATCTTTGATAATACAAACAAAAAACTTTTACAAACAGATATGCGTTAAACTCCGAGTAATATCGAATATTTGTACATTTAATTTGGACATATATACATATTCCATTTATAGACCTCCCTTTATGACGTCAAAGTGGATCATTTCTTTAAGCATGACTCATAGGCCTCAATACAATGAACATTAAAAGTAAAAAAAAAAATCAAAAAAAAAAAAAAAAATCAATAACTTGCCTATAAGTCGGACATAGAGTTTCGGACAAAATATTCAATAAAAGTCTTATAGGCGAGGGTATGCGGTATTCATCATCTGATAAAGGATTAAATCTGCACTGAAATTTCCTTGCTTGAGAAGCAAAATTCAGAATCAGAAACCAGAATCAGAAAATTTTATTTAGAGTCGGATTTTATAACATAAACATAAGCTCCGTAGGGTTTTTGGCCGACATAATATTAGTACTACATATGCATGGATACATAAATGACTATATACACATATAACACAGTTAGGGATACATTGTCATGCGTCACAGCAGTCATATTTACATATATACACACAAAACAACACAGAAAAGCACATATATCATGCATACAAATGCATATAAATAAGACAAATCACAGGAAATAAATATAAATGAATGTCAAAATAGCACTTATGCTCTAAAAGGAATAGTCTATAATTTAAATATTTTGATAAAAATATAGCAAATTTGTTGAGTAAAAAGTATATGTGTAATACTATAAATTTTTGGTAAATAAGTTTACTCACTATTAAAGCAAACAAGCAAAATGAACTTAAATTAAAAGAAAATACCAAAATAAATAAATAAATGAATAAAAAAAAATAAAAAGAAACTGAGCAAAAAACTAAAGAATAAGATCAGCAGAGCCGCACTTACAGGAATCAATCGTTAATTAGACTTTTGAACTGATTAATTGTGGTTGCATTTCTAATTGTTTCAGGGGGTTCATTCCATAGTTTGCAATTGGCTCCTGCATATCTGAAAGAGTGTAATCCATGTTTTGTAGTTCTTACCCTAGGTACAATGTACCTGTACTGTATTAGTTTTCACAAAATGATATGGGGTATGTTTAGAAGTAAATAGATCAGATAAGTAAGCAGGACTTCATCCTTCAAAATTTTAAAACTTCTGTAGCCATTGTCCTTAATCTTCTTATTTTTAAAGTTGGTAAGCCTGACTTAAGTAATAATTTCTCATATGTACTGATTCCATACTTATCAATAAATCTGAGAGCTCTTTCATGGAATTTTTCACTTTTTCTTGTGTTATTTTCTCCGCAAAAGTGCCAAACAACAGGACAGTAATTAAATTACTCATAATAAAAGAATAATAGATGGTCAATTTGCCCACTTTGGTCAGGTGTTTACCCACGCGTTAAAGTACATTAAGTTGTCTTGCTGATTTTTTTTTGCATATGTTCGAGATATGGTTTTTAAATTTTAATTGGCCATCAATAGTTACATCCAAAAAAATTAACCTCTTCCTAACATTTTATATTAATACCATCCAATCTGAAAATGATGCTTTCTTTATAGGTTTCATTTCATATCGAGAGTGCCTGAAATTTTTCTCGATTTGCTTTCATATGGTTATTTGAGAACCAATTTTTAGATTTAAACTTTCTTCTTCTAAAACCTTGATAACTTTGATTAGTTCATAATTTGAATGAGACAGTGAGTTGTCATCAGCATAATTATATAACATGCCTTCAGCAACACAGCTAAAAATGTCGTTTAAAAATATGCTAAAAAGAACCGGACCTAATATAGAACCTTGAGGTACACCCTTATAGATATTTTTAAACGTGCTAAAAATATTCCCTACTTTTAGACATTGTCTCCTATTTGACAGATAACTTTGTACAAGTGTTAGAGAAGAATCTGAGAGGCCATACATTTTCATTTTCAACAACAGCAGGTCGTGCGGTAAGCAATCAAAGTCCATTCATCAATTTCTATTAAATTTTTGTCGTTAGCGAAACGTTTATTTTAAAATCAAGACGTCTTTATAAAAAAAACCTCGTGATTTGGATGATATTTTTTATTCATTTCGAATTGTGATGACACTGTACACAGGTTCAAAGATTTGCTGATCATTTTCTAAATCTCTTTGGCAAATCTTTTTTCGCACGACAATGGCACATTCAACAATGACAGCACAGAAGAATATCACACCACATATACTTAGTATAATTACATAAGGTATATTAGTCTCCTTATCAGGGCTTGTTTGATTCTTTGATAGAGTAGCATTTGGTATCTTTTGCGTCATATAACTTGGATATGGTTTAAATGCACTTCTTTCGGAAGCGTTCTTCGAGACTGTGTATTATAATAATATAAAAAGTTCAATTTGTGAGCATCATTTTAAACAGAACGATCGAGACACGAAAATTTCTCAGCACAAGAAAAAAAATTTTATTAACTATACATTACCATCCGATGTTAAACATTCTCTAGGTATTGTTATCTTACAGGAGACACGGTTGCATGCACATTTTCCTGATGAACATCTATATCCATATTCCGGGACTCTGCACAATAAAGTGCAGTTTTCTCCAAAATGTTCCGACTGACACACTGTACAGTGATAATAAAATGACGTCATTTAACATTTCCCACTAAAGTAAAAAAAAGAATTAAGCATTTTGTAAATTATGTGGATATAATCTATCTTAGCTTACGTATACATTTGCCTTCTGTTGAATTCCATATCTCTCCGACACAACAAGGTTTGAAATTGAAAATCCTAAACATATAAAAAAAAGTCTTAACCGATCTTGTAGTAACAAACCTAACTTTAAGTGTTTTGATTTGAATGTTGAAAAGCAGTTTTGCAAAACTAGAAGCATGACACATATGGAGACAAAGCATCTATCACTATATGTTATAAAAACTTTCTTCTATGTACTGATTTATGGTATAAAATCTAGATCGCATGAAAATATTTCATCACGCTTATCTATTCACTCTTTCAGAAAATATATAGGTTAAATGCAGCATCCGAAATACAAGTATAATTGTAGTATGCACAGTATACATCCAAAGACGCATTATGAATTCTTAACCAGATTCTGTTGTAGAATTAATCAATCTCATAACTAATCCTAAAAATAAAGTTCCCATGCAGCAGCCAAAGCATAACTGATAAATGTGAATGCAAAAATAAGAAAAGCGAATGATTTCCGTTTTTTGTGTATGCATTACAGCCAAAGGCACTTCTTTTACTAATCAGAAACATGGGTAATGAGCTGCATATAATTGCAACTGGCAGTGTAAACTTATACTAAATGTAGCGTATATACAAGGGTCGATCAAATTAACCATACATTTGTATGGGGAAAGAACTTCTCTTCATTTTTTCTTCTATTTTTTATCCCTCTTACAAAACAATATTGATTTCATGGCAGCTTGAAACCTTTCTTGTACAAAAACTTAAGTCAAGATATTCAGCAGTTTAAATGAATCTGGGCAATAATATACATTGACTGAGTTTGAGGGCAACATGCATTTTATCGGACCCAAGAACCAAACTGTTTGCCTGAGATCGTTAGGCCGAAGGCAGACAGTTTAGTTCGAGGGTCGACAAAACGAATTTTGCCCTCAACCTCAGTCAATAAATGTTTTGTTATACCTTTTATTTGAATTTTTTATTGACATACATGTATTTTGTACTCTCGTTACCGCAGGTCCGTCACTGTTCACCATCGGTGACGTAAGCGGTCCAATATGTCATCGATCGGTTCCACATCTCACTCCGCGGTCAAACATCAATTTTGTGTATGCCCGCTTAGCAAAACATTAGAAATATTAGACTTTTTTTCATAAATATCTGTATAGGAACAAATTTTTAAAGGTATAACAAATTTAATTTGACTACTCATCATGAAAGTGCAGCTTACGTCCAGCTTAACTTCATTGCAGACCTGCAAATCTCATGTTCATGTATTTTTATCAGAATAATAATATTATACTAGCAGCAAATCCTCAAATCTACAAACAATTCTAAATAAAGAACAGATTTCTTAAGCAGCCATATCTTTTTCTACTTTTAAAAAGTACCAGTGATAGATATTTTAATTCCAATATCATTGCACATTTTCATGCATCAAACATATATTAAGAAAATATTATTGTCAACTATGTACCGGTAAATGTCAAATTACAAACTTTGTTAGGTGGAGAAATGTATAGACTATATGCATAGAATATAAGTTATTACTCTGAGTGATACATACCCTTTACATAGTGCAACAGAGATTCGAAAACGCACTACGATTTGAAAAAAGTAGAAATACATTGTTTTGTGTTTATGTTTCAAAACGATAGTCAACAACCAATGGATAACAACGGTATCCACAGATCCGAGGATCCTGCCGAATTACGGAATAACATGTACACAGAAGCAATGTTAAGTTCACTTTGAATTACAAAGCACATAAATTAATGCCCCTCTTTTTGATCAAACTTTTGACAGTTAAAAAAATTTCCGCTAGCTTATACATAATAATGAAGTTCAAGAAGACTTAATTTGGACAAGGAACACAATCTTATTTATAAACTTGAAATCTTTCCTCTTCAGACAGCTGTCACGATGATTTTTGAAAATATTGATGTGTTTACTTCCTCTTGATTTTTTTTTTTTGCATGCACCTGTTTATACTTTGCGTTTCTTTACACAACAGTTTTTTCGCGTTTCTAAACTGTTGGATTAGTCAATTTTTCTCTACAAAAGAGGTGACACAACCATGCTGCATATCCGGCCGAATAGCTTCTCGCCTTTTTTCTTGGATTGCTCTATAACTTTTATTGAAGGGATGAGATAACTTCCATATGGAAATTTATGAAGTATAATAGTTAAAAACTTAAAATCATTCCTTAGGTCCAATTACAAATTTTCTACACTTTAATAACACATGACATATTTAATGACGTCTTTCATTCACGAATGGGACGTTAAACAATATTCATTCACTTGATCAATCTTTATAGCTTTAGACATATATTTTGGATATATTTTAATAGGCTCCACATCAATAAGAGAACTTGTGTACAGTTTTACTTTAAAATGATAATCTTTTCTCAATATTTGGTTACTAGTAACTGGTTTGATATGTTAAGGTAGCCAATGAAAATATTTGCAATTTTTTGTGACATAAATTGTCTTTTAACTTTAGGTTTATTCTAGTCGCAATACTGCATGTGTATGACTCTTTATATTACATTTTCAGGGTTTTGGCATTTTTTGAATGTTTAACGAGCCACAATTCCCTCTGCTGAATTATGGTATTGTGCATTTAGTTTGCTCTTTTTTTACTGGCTTATATGTATTTCTTGGCATAGTACTTTGTCGGTTATTACTTAAATAAATGACCATTCCAATTCTTTAAAAATATTGATGTGTTGTATTGAGCACAACCCTAGGAGTTGGCCATAAAATACATTGATGCTCGAGTTTCTGATTGACAATATCTATGTGGTTTTTGGAGACCGGGTCCTCCAACAATATATTGGAATTCCCATGGGTACAAATTGCGTCCCATTGTTAGCAGCAGACCTATTTTTGTATTCATATGAAGCAGAATTTGTCCAAAATCTTATGCGTGAAAAGAAGAAAACGCTTGCTGTGGCCATTAACTCGACATTTAGATATCGACGACGTATTGTCAATTAATTATAGAAATTTCCATTCCTATTATATTTCTAATAATGTTCAATCATTTACTAACTACCGACAAGAATGTCTTACCTTATAAGCAGAATTTTTAGCGAGGATTTAATTTTGGCATTTTTAGCGAGGGTGTTTAAATCGCTAAAATTAAATATCACTAAAAATTAATTCCATTTTATTTGTAATAGCTTCTTTAGTGAGTATTTTAAAATCGCTTAAATTACTTATCGCTAAAAATAAAATACCCATTTAAGGACAAATCGCTAAATTTACGTCTCGCTAAAATTTCCACTTATACGGTATATCATTTTTAATTATTCAACTCAAATAGAATGTTATTTTAAAAAATAAAACTTTAATATAATTTAAAAAGAATCGACACACCATTAGAATTTTTTTTTTATAGTTGAAAAAAAAGAACGGGATACGTATCTAATGACAAATCACATTCTCTTTATAGATAGTTTTCGATAGGCCAGAATTTAGCAAGAGTTACTAGTATTCCCCATTGACCGCCATATTGGAGGTACAGATGCTCATATTCCTTCATTGTTCAACCAATTTTAATTTCTTATATTTGCCAATTGGGGTAAGAACCATTATTTTTTTTCTGAATAAAATATATTTTTGGAAGCCTCCTTTATTTAAAACAAGTTATTTAATAAAGATTTTCCACCAAATAATTCTGCTACATAATCCTAAGGAGGAATTCCATTATAACTTTTTATTTTATAGATCTCTGAGTCGTCCTTTTTAAACAAGGTTTCAGCATTGAAAGACCAATATTAGCTCATAACTATTTTATATGAATTTTTTGTATTCTTTCAAAGAAAATGAAAAAAATTATTTACATCCAAAAAAGATGCCTTCGAGTTTAAAGTTTGCTGTAAATGAATGCATCATATGAATATCTAACAAAATATGTAAAGTAAAGAAAGGCTGGATAGACTTTTTTATTTTTTTCAAATAAAATTTTTTAATGAAAATAAAAACATAATTTGTGAATATTTTTTAATCCCATTGTTAAAAGCACCACAAACTAGTCACAACTGTAGAGAACATGTTTGTCAATCATATTTTAAAAGAAATTTAATGAAATTACAAAATTTTGGGGAAATTAATTAGCTAAATATTTCTACTTATACCGATTAAAATTAAAACGACCCCGGTCAAAATTAACACAAAATGATAAAATACTAATTTATTGCCTCCCTCATGTATTTACAATTAAGAAATCTATTTGACTGTCAAGTTCATTTATTTTTTAACCCTTATAACACCTAATCAAACTAATATTCTTGGGAAAATGTAATAATTTATATCCAATAATTGTACAGTTTTTGTTCGGATCGGTTTGATTTGAATCGGAATTGGCCAAAAATAAAAAAAAAAAAATAATTTCTCTTAAATTTTGTGATTTCATTTCAATTTCTTTTTAAAATATGATTAACTAACATATTCTCCCTAGTTGTGACTAGTTTTTTGAAGCTTTTAACCACGAGTTATAAAAAATATTAACAAAATAATATTTTTTTCTTTAAAAAATGTAAATATATATACGGCTCATCTTTACATATTTTATTAGATATTTATATGATGCATTCATTTACAGCAAACTTTTAACTGTAAAGCATCTAATTCGTTTTTATTCATTTCTTTGAAAAAATACAAAAAAAAAAAATCATAAAAAATAATTAAGAGCTAATATTGAACTTTCAGTGCTGAAACCATGAGAGGGATGTCTTGAAGATCTATGAAATAAAATGTTGGTGTGGAATTCCTCCTTAAATTTGGTAAGACAAAGAGAAAAAATTACCGGGTCGACCTCCAATATGACGGCCAACGTAAAGTAACTCTTGCTAAATTCAGGCCTATTGAAAACTATCTATGAAGGATATGGAGATAAGAACATTATTCAATATCAAAGTCCATAAAACAATACAAAATAGGAGCAGAGCAAACACGGACCTTCAAAACATCAGAGGTGGGATCAGGTGCCATGGAGGAGTCAGCATCCCCTGCCTACCGGTCACACTCGCCGTGTGATCCTTGTCATGAATGGGAAATAACGGACAAGGTC